GGCACACATGTGGGGGTTTAAGATTGCTGGCCTTACCAGAGCATTTCGCATCGAAATATGGCCTTAGAGACAATAGATTTCTTTCATGCCCTGGCTGAAGCTGGTATTTGTATGACAGAGAAGCCAGAGTGCACGAGCTCTGCCTTGTTTTTCTTGCGCATGATGGCCCAGCAAGAGGTTTGGCTCTCCGGGGAGCCCTCTGAACTCTCTTCCATGAAAATAGCCCTATTGTTCTCTCTTTACTTGGCGGGTGATGAACATCACATCATCCCCTCCACTCAAGGGGTCATGTTAATGGCTTTGGTACTACTCCATTGCAAAAAATGAGTTTCTGCATTAATGCACAAATATTCTGAGATACAACTGACGCAACAAAGTTGGCCAAAACCTCAGACTTGGCTAAGTTGGTTTCTTTGCAGCTGGAAGAGCAAAGGAGAATTGGGGTTTGAGGGGGTGTGTGCGTGCCTCCATTATAGGGTACCAGGGAAAGCAAGTGTGCCCACGTGCGGCTGATGAGCAATTCTTTGAAGGCGCGGACGGGCAGCCAGGCACCCAGCTCTGCAACCCGCCCGTCAGCTGCAGTGTATCAAATGCCCGTGCATAACTCAGCAGCACTGTGGGCAACGATCAGCTTGCTTTCTGGTGACTCTGCCAGTGCCCTCGGTGCTGGACTGCCTCTGCCGTGCACGGCTGGGGGACCCGGGCTGTGCCCTGGGCATCCCAGCTGCGGGACATGGCTGTGTGTGGGACGTACCTGCCACAAAGGTCCTGTTCACACGTCAGTCTCTGCTGAGGGAGAAAAGCAGGGTCATGTCAGAACTATTTATTCCCCCCCATTGTGGCTGATGTTGTATTGAGTTTCAATTGTCTGAGCCCTGAGCAGCCTTTGAAAGGGGCCGCGACATCCCAAAGCCACAAAGCCCATCTTTGAAGGCTCTTTAGCAGCCAGAGGAGAGGTTTACAAGTATAAAGTGATTTTCTTTAAACTTTGTGGGACTCTATTTTTAGCAAATAAAGATAATGTCCCAGTTGCTGTTGTTCATCTTTTGTTGCGTGTAACATGCCAAATACTTACCATGTCTGCCATATTTTTTTATCATTTAACCTTCTCTGAGCTGCATTGCAGCTCTCTTACGCTGTAGCAGAGATTATGGGCTATCTGCATGTACAAATCCTCCCCCGGTTACTGGATTACTTTGAAAAGATCTCATTCTCCAGACTGAATTTGGAAAAGAGAAAGAAAAGGCAAGTCAGAGCTCTATAAAAAGACTTTTCCCAGTCTGAGCAGGGTGCATTTGTTCTGTGAACTCCCAAGGACAGGGAAGCACCTTTTCCAACTTTTTACAATTAAACCAGACCATATTTTGCAATCTTTTGCTTAAAAACTCAAGCTTTTTATGCCCTTCCTCAGAACAAACAGAGAGGAGGGGGGACTCAGGACCCTGCCAGGACTGAGGACTGAGAGGAGAAATGCTTCTGTTTGAGCTAACTCTGTCCTTCTGCAGAGTCATTAAAACTCTTGGACTTTGTTTCTCACTTCCATCCCCTGACCAACGCGTGGGCGAACAGCCCTTGCCCCATGGGGGGGTCTAAGCAGCCTCCTGGCACAGAGCAGTCTTCCAGCAAGACAAGACTGGATCACCAGACAGCTTCCAAATTCACAGCCTGGATCTGTATTTATTAAGGTGTGAATCCATATTTACTGATCAACAGGACGACAGAGAGGAAAAAGGCAGTAGTACTGACTCCCAAGTCCAGAAAAGAGACAAGGTGGGTGCACTATGGACCTATACTCACAGAGCTTTATTTCAGAGATAGATCTCAAAGCAAAGCTAAGAGGCTTGCAATGACCTGGACAACTCCTGGCGCTGCTAACAGGATAGAGTCAGTTGTTTCTCGGCTTGGCCTGGCCACCCGTGATGATCCATTTGTGGAGGGCGACCGGGTGTAACAATAAGCATTGCCCAGTGCTTGCTGGAGAAACCCCTCCACTGTGGGCAGGCATGTTCCAGGGTGGGAGGCTGCCTTTGCACCCGCTGCTTAGCGCGTCCCACTGCGGGGTGCCCCTGACTGGGGCTTCCCCTTTGCTGCCCCAGGGTGTGGGTGTGCGTGAGAGCATGAGCAGTGCACGTATGAGCACTGCGTGTGTGTCTGAGCCTGGCACCCTGCTCAGCTGCCATGCTCTAGGCTAATATATATGTATGTATGTATATATATACAGCCTTAATCCACCCACAGCCTCGCCACAGGTTAGATGGGTCTGGGACTCTCCTGCACAGACAGGCTCCAGGGTGAAGGGCTTGCTGCAGGGCTTGGCCTTGGTGCAGTTCCAGACTTGGTGCTGCTTTTGCGGCTGGATAACAGTAGCTTTAGGGTAGATGGGAAACAGGCAAAGGACAAAGTCACTCGCAAAAAGTCTTCAAGTCAGTAGCCAAGCAAGGAAAGGATCTGCTCTTCCTCTCAGCCAGTCCAGTGACATGTTTTACAGCCCTGGGACAGGTCACCAAGGAGACGGGAGAAAACCATCCCGGGAGGTTTTCAAGGCTTGGCTATGTAAAGCCACAACCACTCTGATCTTGTGTTAGGGATGGTCCCACTGTGAGCAGGAGGTTGGGTTAGAGACCAGCCCCTTCCCTCTGTCATTCCCTGGTGTGAGGAAATGTCTGAGATTATCCCCAGTGGTAGAGCAGACAGAAAAATTACTATCTGCAGGCAACTCACTAGAGTCAACAAAATATTTCACAATTTCCCAGTTTTGTGATCACAGGATACAAACATCGTATGTTAGTTTACTCGTTCCGCTCCCAAAGCTGCATTAGTGAAAAATTAAGTCCAAATAAAGATGCAGATCTGAGTCTGGTGTTCAGATGTTATTCTGCTGGCTACACACAAACGTCACACAACCCTCTCTTCACCAGCAATTGACAATTTCAAACATTCATAACGCAGGTCACAAACTAAGTCCAGCCCCACTGCTTTTGTTGGAGCCTCACAGTTATATCATCAATGCACTGTGAAAATGCTTCAGTAATTGTATTACTCCAACAGGCACACAAATGATTGCCTTGTGATGGCAAATATTTTTTCTACATATGCTGTTGTGTTGATGGTACCTTACTAGCAAACATATTAGGGTTGTTTCTTTTTATTACACTTATTGTAAGGGGAGAGTAAGGTAGGACTAACAGTTCCTTCATATATTTAAACAAAAAAAGTAGGAAGGACATGGTCTGGATTATTTACACATAAACATATTTTATCTGTTCCTAATACAGACACATTCCTGAAGAAAGAAACCTCTTGATTTGCCACGCCACAATTTCGAGCCCTATTGCTGGGAAATGAATGTCCTGCAAGTACACGAAACTGTTCTGAAATCTGAGATTTGCCAGATGTACTCAACTGAAGAGGCACAGAACAGCCCCCAGCCTTGATCTGTCCAAAACGAGAGCAGAGAGCAACCCTATCTCCTGATGAACTGAGACAAAGTGAGTGTAAATACGCATCTAAAGTGGGAGAAAAATATCAGCTTGCATTACGCCGCAGGGTGTCCCGGAGACCGCCAGGGACTCGGGAGTGCCTCCCTACCGTGGCACAGCACATGGCTGGGGACATCCCCCAGGAGACACCCGGGTGCACTCAATAGCCTCTCTGGGAACAAGGGGGGGACATCTGAAGTGGGGCTGCCAATGGGCTGGGCTGCACTGAGGTAACCCCAGCCACCCCCTTTTCAAGGTCCTGTTGGTGCAGTGCAGCAAAGGGATGTGGGCTATGAAGATGTTTAAGAAACGGAAAACATGAAGATGTTTCCAACATTGGTTCAGTTCAGGTTCTTTAATTTTCAAAGCCAGGATTGCAGTTCTGTCTTCCCCTGCCTACAAAGGGCAAACTTCAGCTCCTGCAAAGGCAACAGGTAAGGCAGCTCCAGTACAAGAGAAGGTACTAACGAGTTAACATGAAGGTGTTTTCCATTGCTTTTGGCTCACAGCAGCCTCAGAAATGATGCTGGGGGCTTGCAGTGGGTACTCTGGGGGTGGTTTGCAGTGTACAATAAACCAAGGTCCAGGTTACAAGTTCTCCATGGTGTAAACATCAAGATACTCTAGGAAAGGAAAGGCAGAGCAGGGGTGAGCTGGCCTGCCCAGCTCCTCAGGACTGCCTTTCAGGCTTGATGGGTCCCTCCAAGATGGGATAACTTCAAATGAACTGGATAGCATCAAATGGAGCTGGGGTGTCTCCTTGGCTCTCCTCCAGAGGAGGCTCTCCCTCCTGTGGGAAAGGCAGAGGTCTGCAAGATCTCCCTTTTGTGCATCTGCAAGGATGCTGGTGGTCACCCCGAGGTTGGGCCCGAGCACCATGGGCTCCCTGGAGGGGCAGTCACCAACTGTGGTGGCCCCTTCAGAGGCTGGGGCTCTCCGGGGGGCAGCCTCACGTGCCCAGCGGCACCCAGGCTTTCGGCATTCCGAGCTAAGGAAAGATGGAGTTGTTCAAGTATCAGTTCAGCCCAGGTGTTTTAACTACCCATGGTTCCTCTGTCCGCCACAGCCCGCAAAGGGCCAACTTCAGCTCCCACGAAGGCGACGTATGACACAGCTCCAGTGCCAGAGAAAGCGCCAACAAGCCGACGTGCAAACCGCCATGCTCCGCTGCCTGCTGCCTGCGGCCTGCCGCCGAGGGACGACACAAACGAATCTCCCAGCTCACCGGCTGAGGTCTTGTGACTGCAGATGCCTTGTTTTACGAAACACGGCAGCTTTCTCCCAGGTCAGGTTTCTTAGAGCGACCCCACAATGTGCGGCTTGAGCTGGGCGCGGGGGCCCGCGGGGGTCCTCCCCTGCACCAACAGGCAGCAGTGCCCGGAGCCGAGCAGCGGCGGAGGAATCGGTGGAGCCCCGATCCTTCCTCGAGGGGTGACGGCGGCTCGGGGGGCTCTGAACCCCCTCC